TTAATTTCTATTTCTGTCGTACAATCTAAAAACTATTGTTGTTTTTATTTTAAGGTGGAATGATATGAACTGAAAAACACGGAGTGTACCTTTAAAGCTGTGAATCCCAGGTATGTTTGGGACGTGTGGGTGGGAGTAGTGTCTAAAAAACAAAAACAACAGCAGGACATGTAAACAAACACTTTAACAGACAAACGCAGCAGTTTGGCGACACCTGGTGGCAACAGGAGGTAATGACTTAAACAACACATTATTATTATCATTCACATCATTTACAGAAGTTAAGATGAACACAACCAGACATGACGTGGAGTCTCACCCCGAGCAGACGAAGACGGAGTCGAAGGTCTCCGTCTTCTGACGACCCGACGCATCAGATGATGTCACTACCCATGTTGTCGTCTCAGCCCCGCCCTCCGATGTCTTCACAGCAGGTTTCACATTTTCCACCACAGTGTTGAACTGTCAGAGTCACAGAGAAGAATAAAGCTGCCGAACAGAAACGTCTTCACAACTTAACCATGTTCAACTTATTTTTACGTAAAACAAAAACACAGATGGTCATCACGGAGCAGCTGGAGCTGAAACATCTGGAAACGAAGGTTTGATTATCGATTATTAATGAATATTTTCATTAGTGTTTCATCTGCAGAGGATTTTACACATAATTGCTTTGTAAGCTTCCAGAAAACAGTGACATGTGTCCAGTTTATTTTCCTTCATGATTTCACCTACGATTGAAAAATCTTAAGTTTAATATCAGATCATTTTCTGCTGATGAAATAATCAACTGATGGATTGTTGAACTCATCCAGACTCCAGCTCTTCTTCTTCTTCAGTATTCATCCACAAACATTCATAAGATACTTCACTTGTTTTCTGTCTCTGATCATTTGGAGATGATGATGTGTCTCTGCTCAGTGTCGATCTAGCATCATGCTCAGGTGAGCTCACCCTGATGTGAGGCCAGATGTTGTGGCTCTGGCAGTAACTCTCCAGGTACTTCTGGACCTCCTGATGAGGCAGGAAGCTGCTCAGCTGACGGTTGAAGGGGAAATCAGGGAACATCATCACCTCTTTGGGAAGGTTGGTCCTGTCAGGAACAAACCAGGTTACACTGGGTCAACAGCTTCTACTCACTTCTCAGAAGTAAACAGTTCAACTCTAAACTAGGGGTGGGAGAAATTTCCGATTCTTAGATGCATCGCGATTCGGACGTGGACAATTCTGAATCGATTCACAAACGTCCAAATTTCGATTCTTTAAATAAAGTAATACAGACAATTCTAAAATGCAGGACTAAGAAGCGTGGTACGCGTCATCTCCGGGACACTATGGGGAGCGCACCTGAAGCGGACACGCCGCACAGAGGAAAACAAACATGATGGTTGCAGCTACTCATCTCGCTGTTCATACCTCACAGCGAGATTTAAAAGCAGACGTGTGGAAACACTTCGGCTTCTACAACGTCGACGCGGAAGCGAACTGGCAAAGAGCCACGTTATACGTCAGCTGTGTCGCGCTAAAATAAAAGACTTTGGCAAAACAACAAACATGAGAAGCCATGTAACTCGATTCCACCCGACAGAGGAGACGGCAGGCTGTTGTTGCTGCGACTAGTGGCGTTACCGACCAGAGAACAATCGAGGAACAATTAGAAAGCTGCCACCCTCATCGGAAAAGGCGAAGAGAATTACGAAGGCCATCGAGGCGTTTATTGCCAAGGATTTGCGTCCGTATTCAGTCGTGGAAATTTGGGATTTCGAGCACTTCTGCATACATTGGAGCCCAAATACACCATCCCACCCCGACGCTACTTCACCAACACGTCCATCCCGACACTCTACAACTGTATTGCACAAACTTAGTTTACATTTTTTCTTAAATGTGTATAAGGACACATTTTAATTTTTGTGATTCAAGATACCTCTTACCTTTGGTTCTGTACAACAAAGTTGTAACTTTCCAGTTTGCACGCATTCCAATTAGTTTCTTATTACAAATGTACTGTTTTTAAAAATTGCAAGTGATGAAAGTTTAGCCAGTGAGACAAAAAGAAATGTTGTGAAAAAGTGCATCAATAAACATAAATTGAAGATACATCAATAATCGTTTTATAATCGAATCGTTGACCTCTGAATCGTAATCGAGTCGTGAGGTGCCCAAAGATTCCCACCCCTACTCTAAACTGGATTTGTTGAGTGGTTCACACGTGACAACGTACCTGAGGTCTCGGTACATGCTGCTGTGAACTGCTCGTCCGCTGTCGTCCGTACGCTCATCGTAACACCAGGTGCCACCGATGTTGTCGCTGAGCTCAAACACCACAGGACGGGCGAAGCTGTTTGGACGGGACAGGATGTGTCTGGCTGCACAGAGTCCTGCTGCCCCCCCACCGACCACCGCCACCCGCTGCATCATCCTCAACCTGAGACTGAGTCAGCAGGGATTTAAACTACAGACCTGAGTATGATTGGCCATCCTGAGGGCCCCACCCAACCAGAGCAAGACAGACAACATCTGCAGGATGTGTTTGCGTGTCTTGTAAATAAAATGACGATACACAAAACAAAGCTAACAGCTAACTGTGCTCTGAGCTAACAGCTAACTCTGCACTGAGCTAACAGCTAACTGTGCTCTGAGCTAACAGCTAACT